ACACACACACACACACACACACACACACACTATTATTAATGTGCATAATGATTCAGAATTAAACACAAGCAGCCTGAAGTGAATTGAATTGTTTGAACGGACTCACCACAGGAGACCAGCCTGAGCCGCTCTGGTGAACCTGCGCACAAAACAACATTTACACACACTGCACACTGATTTCTAAATGTGTTGTTCTTGTACTATTATATATTTTTTCTCCACTTACTTGTTCTCCCTCCAAGCCCATGATCCTGGGAATGGATGGACCACAGATATCTACATCCAGCAGGGCGACCTCAAAACACAAGAGGAGAGAGAACAAACCAACGCACACTCAGATTTGTTTCAGAATCCTGTCACATAAATATTTGTTTCTTGATGTAGGTGTGTCTTTTAAACGTAAATATACAATTAGATTTTTAGAAAAATGTTCAAGTCTTAATAAATAACTTGACAGAAATAAACAATGAAACCTTCCCTGTATATCTTTACACCACCAAACCCTTAGATTCTATTAAACCCTGTCAGCAGTGACCTCTAGTGGCATTGAGACGATTTCACAATCCTACCTCCTTTGAGCTGTCGCTGGCCAGAGCGTGGGCCAGGTGAGCGCTGAAGGTGCTCTTCCCAACTCCTCCTTTCCCCGACAAAACCAGGATCTTGTGTTTGACCGTCGACAGCTTCAGTCCTATCTCTGCTATCGCTGAGAGACGGGAGAAAGAGTGGGAGGACGGTGATCTGGTTATTTTAAGACATTTGCCTGTTGAGGTTAAATCAGCTTGACCGTTAGTCTGATATGTCGGACTGACCATCCCTTAACATAATAATACCAAGCTGTGATAACAGACTCACCAGGGTCGGGGGCCTTGGTGGCTCCTGAAGCGCACAGATTCTGGTTGGGGCAGCCCTGACATGACGCGGACTTTCCTGCTTGTTCACTAGATGTACCTGGGCAATCTGAAAGAAATGAACATTTATCAATACATTATAAACTTTTCAGACGTGTGCGTAACAAAAATAAATAAGCATTTGTGACTCGTTGCGTCGGATTCGAGCAGTCGTCTTGTGTTTTGTGGTTTGAAAATTTCTCACAAAGATATTTGGTGTGAAACTCTCATTGACACACTGATCTGCTCCATGACGTCACATTCTTTGTTACTGGTGTGTGAATGCAACACATCTGCTGCTGCAGCAACTCTTGTAAAACATTAGCGTTTTCACAGGCGCTCAGCTGTTTTGCACCAATTATAACTTCGCACACAATTTCTGGGGGAACGTGAATAACATGCCGCACAAGTCACCTGGAACGTTTCTATTTGAGGGGGAGGGTGAAGAAGTCACTAACTTCAGTTTACAGATGAATGAGATGACTTTAACAACGCTGAGTTAACAGGGAAGAACCAGAACTGATGGGTTGAAACGTGCTGAGTCACAGACAAACATGATCTTCGTCCACATGGACTCTGCACACTGAAGGTTGTGTGACTCAGCAGAAATGTCCCTGTGGCGTTTAATTACAGATATACAAGAATCCAGAGCTGATATCTGGTCTGTATCTGTTCAATCATGTTCAACGAGGAAGACGAATGAATGAAAGAAGATAAATCTACTAACTAATTCATGACAGGAAGAAAACAGTGCGTCACTGAACTTCCTAATTGAACAGACGATTTATTTGTCATTCTTGAATAAAATAAATCAGCCCTGCACTTCCGGGTGAGTATCATGACTGAAATAAATCATCCAGGATGTAAAAACTTTATTTATCTTTATATTGAGTTTGTGTTGTGGACAGGAACCGTGAGAGATTTAAAAAACCAACCACGAGAGAATATTACAAACCGCTTCATCGTGTAGTGACTCAAACATGTAAAAGTCCTGATACGTTCACATTTAATTTAAATTAAATATAACTTCATAAAAACTCACGTTCAGGAGCATTATCTGGTACGTCTGCCATCTTTACACCGGTGTCCCACTGTTAAAGTCTTCCCCCTTCTATGGTTCCGGGTACGCACAACTCGTTGGGAGGAGCAGGAACCTCTGGAAACAATAATAGACTGAAAATAAAAAATCAACAAATATAACTCTTTCAATAAATGTCTAAATTACTGTGAGGCCTTTTTTTATTGTTTGTGTGTTTAGTAGATTTTG